CCAGCCCTGGCGGGTGATCCCAGCAGGGCAGCGTGGGACTCTGCGCTTGCAGGCGGAGCGCAGGGCCCAAGCATAGCCCAGGCCCTCGGTTCCTCCTTCCTAGCCGCAGCCCTGGAAGGGGGTGGGGCGGGTCCTTCCACATTTGGCCCCTCCGAAGGCCACTGGGTGTTGCCCAGAGCAGCACAGGATGCTGCTGATGGCTTCACACTTCCAGCCCCACTGAGCCACAGAAGGCTTCTGCCTGCCAGGCAGAGTGGGTGAACCGCTCCAGCTGCGGCGGACCCGCTACACGCACGGTTCTTTGGCGCCCTCTCGTGGTGTTTTGTGAACGACAGCGACGCCCTGTAAGCGCGCAGGTGATGTTGTGAGGCTCCTACGTGGGGCATCCTCGGGTGCTCTCAGCTGGTGCCTGCGGCTGCGCAGACCACTGGGAACCCCCGTCCCAGGCAGGACCAGGACGTATAGGACACCTGTGCAGTTGGTGGTGGGATTCCACACGAGTCCCTGGACTTCATCCCCAAGACGCCCCCTGACCCAGCCTCATAAGTACAGGAACCTCATCACACCTGCAACCACCCCCAGTCCCTGCCACTGTGCTCTGTCCCGTGGTGCAGAGATGGGGCAGCATGAGGGCAGTCCTTAGGGCCAAGGGATTGGAGTGGCTTGTTTCCAGATCAGCACCTGCTCTGCAGCACCTGTACTGGGGGGGGGGGGCAGCTCTGCCCACCCATCTCCAAACTCCCCGTGGGCCCTGTACATTGGCTTCCTTTCCCGTCTGCAGCCAAGGCTGCACTCACGGTTACTGAGATTGGGAGTGGGTCGAGGGAAGGCCAGCAGCGAGTTTTAGGATTTTAGGATTTGAGAACAAATGAGGGTGGGTGAGGGGTGGCTACCAACTGGGCAAAAGATAAGGAGGCCCCAGCAGGTGTTCCCAGCCAAAGTGCAGCATTGAGGGGAGTCCTGCGAAAACCGTGGGGTCTTGGTCAGCCTTGTGGAGCAGAGAGCCAAGGAGGCTGGAGCTGGGGCAGCAGGCGGTGGGGCTCCTCCCCCAGCGCAGGGTGCAGGGCTGGAGGGCTGCAGGGCTGCAGGGCCGGGTGCTGGGAGTAGCTGCAGGGCTGCAGCATTGTGGGGAAAGTGGGCAGCTGTTCCTCTCCCTAGAGCGTCCCCCTCTGCAGGGAGACCATGCAGACTCAAAGCTCCCACACCAGGTTCTGACTCAGTGAAAGACCTGCATGGGGTGTCCCCCAGAGTGGGAAGCAGGGGCCTCCCCATCACAGGGGGTGTGAGGGAGACCACGGCGGTCAAGTCCCCCGGGGGATGGAGCTGTGTTCCACCAACCAGTGGCGTGTGACAGCAGCTCAGACTCTGAGCTGGATGAGGGCTCTGGCTGCAGCTCGGCAGACACCTGTGTCATCAGTGAGCTGGCTGCTCGTGCGTGGCCATCAGGGCCTGTGCCCTGCATCCTGACGTCTGCTTGGTTGTCAGACGCCAGAAGGACCTAGACTCTCCATCACTGATGCCCTTGGAACCAGGTCCCTGTTCTGTCTTCAGATAAACAACGCGAAGGCATCAGCAAACCCCTCTCCCCTTAGTGAGTGGCAGCCCTGCTGGGTGGGGTGGGGTGGGGGCGGGACTTAGAGTGGAGGGGACATGGCCAGCCCTGGCCACTGTGACTTTGGTTTCGGGACTTCACCTTCCTCTGGGGCATCTCTCACTGCAGAGCTCCTGGGGGAGCCTGCTGTCCCCAGCACTCCAGCCCACGTGTGGGCTCAATGCGCATGCGTCCAGAGAGGCTGCGCTCAGGCTGTGTATGGCTTGGGACAGCGAAAGGGAAGTGGAGCCTGAGAGTGATGTGGCTACAGGGTGGCCCAAGCCCCAGGCCCACCCTCCTCCCGGCTCCTTTGGGTCCGCGCCTTCCTATAAGGAAACGCCGGGGGCAGGACCCTTTAGCTCGGCTCATAGTTCTGGGGCGCAAGGTGCCAGCAGAACAGGACTGGTGCTCGCGCAAGGCCACATGGAGTGTGCTGCTGTCTCTCTCTCTCTCTCTCCCGGTCCTCCTAAGCCATCAGAATGCACTCCTGGGGCTGTACCCTAATGACCTCGTCTCTTCACTTCCCCAAGGCCCCACCCCTACGCCCCCAGTGGGATCAAGTTCCCTGCGCCTAGTGCCTTTCACAGTGACACCAGGCTCAACCTCTTGCAAGTGCTTGGAGTACAAACTGCAGCAGCACCGACTCTCCCAGCGCACAGAAGCCAGTCCAGTGCCCGCCTCAAAGGCTGGGCCTGAAGAGCGAGGCCAAGAGAAGCAGAGTTTCTAACCCACCCCCCACCTAGGGCTCACCTGCATGCCTGGGACCCATCCAAGTGCCCCATGCTGGACCCTGTGGGCACTCAGCCCTGACCCTCAGGGCTGTGGCTTTCCCTGGGCCTCAAGGGACAACGCCATCAGCACACAATACCCTGAGCAGTCCTGTGACCGTGTGCCTTTGCTGGGGTCTCCCTAAAAGGCAAATTTGCTGATTTGCAAAGAAGCCTTCCGCTTTATGTAGCAAGTGTGTTGTTAACAGTGTGTGGACATATAAATCTGGAACTATTTTGTGTCTACTGCAGACCTGAACAAATGAGGACATATTTGGGGGATGTTAGAAGCTGCAAAGTTGGGTCTCACTGTGGGAGATGAGAGATGCAAATAGAGAGTGGGGAGAGGCAAACAAGAACTCGTGGTGTTAGATTTTCTCTCTCTCCATCTCTAGGTAGGTAGGAGAGAGAAATGACAGTGATGAATGATGATACGATGACAGGTGGGTGGATGGATGAATGGATGGATACATAGGCACGTACATAGACAGACAGGACCTAGCAACGATGATACTCTAGGAACAGCGGGTACATCAAGTGTTCAGGTCCTGCTTTCTAGACACCATTCTCCACTAAAAAGAGCCAGGATTCCTCAGAGAGATGGCTCGTGCCACAGCTGGAACACAGGAGTGTGAAGAGAACCTGACCGAGCTCATGCCAAGAAGCAAGCAAGCATTTGAAGAAGTGACAGGGGCATGGGGCAAAAGCAAAGGTGGCGACAGGAAGGAGTGTTCCGGGCCAGGTCTGGGGCAGTCAGCATCAAGACAAGGGACACTAGCAATGGGCGGCGGGACACTGAACTTGAAGGAGCCCGTGAGGCCACACTGAGGTCAGGGACAGCCCTTGTCTGCAGCAGAACACAGGGCATTCCGGTGGAGGGAGGGGTTGGAGGACCACCGTTCCCCAGCCAATGTGACAAGTGACTCAGCTAAGACTCCTTGGCAGATGCTGGGGCCGCCAAGTTCCTGTCTGTAGGCACCACGACCCTCGTAGGCTTGACGTGGCTGCCACAGACTGTTCATTAACTACAGGAGGGACGGACACCCTTCAAGTGGGGAGATCCGGCACGCAGCCCCTCAACCAAGCCGTCACAAGTAGCGTCACCGCTGATGGGACAACGTGGCCTTGAGGGCTCCCTGTTGACGGGCACCAAGGAGACAAGGACAGGGAGGGGTTCAACAGCAATGGAACCCTGATGACACATGCACACCCTGACACCACGCACACCTTGACACTACACTCTGACACCACACCCTGACACCATGCATACACCCTGACACCATGCACATGCCCTGACACCACACACACCCTGATACCACACGCACACCCTGCTACCATGTGCACACCTTGATACCATGTGCACACCGACACCACACGCACACCGACACCACTTGCACACACCCTGATGCCACACACAGACCCTGACACCATGCACACACCCTGATACCATGCACACCCTGACGCCACACACACATCCTGACACCACACACCAACCCTTACAGCACACAGATGCTGACATCACACACACACCCTGACACCATGTACACACCCTGACACTCACACACCCTGATGATATACACACCCTGACACCACGTGCACACCCTGAAGCCACGCACATGCCCTGACACCACACACACACCTTGACACCACATGTACACCCTGACACCACGTGCAGGCAGCGCCGCACCGAGGGACTTCACAGGGAACAGAGCTGCACTCTGTAGGACTGCGATGCACGGTGGAGCACAGTGGGCCAGGGCAATGCCTGAGATTCAAGGAGGCCAGAGACACACAGCCAGTACATGCAGGGCAAGGTCTGGGCTTAGAACAACCCTCGTTTGTCTTAAAGGACATCCGTCCTTGGCCCAGGGGTGAAACGGGAAATGGAGAGTGTGTGAGATGAGACCCTGCACGCTTCCTGAAATTGGCAAGATTGAGGTTGTGTAAGAGTTCTCGCTCTTAGTAAACACAGGCTGCGATATTTAGGGGTGAAAGGTCCAGATGTCTGCAGCTCGGTCTTGGGTGGTTCAGGAAGAAATGAGTGTCCGTAGGTATTATTTCACTCCTTGGATGTCTTTCTCTTCTTGCCACCATCTAACTGGTTTGCTGCCACTTTCCCAGTTCAAGTTCCTGGCTGGGAGCCTGTGCCCGGGTAGGATCCCCTCTCTCAGTCCTCTCTCTGGGGAGCACTTGGGAAGAGGTCTTGGACCAGCCTCAGGCTTGGTTGCCTGGGGTCAGGTGCCCACCCCTTGTCTAATCAGCTCTGGCCCAAAATGGGTCATGTGATCTGCATCATGGCTTCCACCCTTCCTTCCGCAGTGGTGGCAGTGGGCAGGAGTCCCCTTGGGAGGCTTGGCAGGTCCATGGCTGCAGGCCAGTGCGTCCTGTTTCTCCCACACTCAGCGTTAACCCTGATCTAAAGTTGTGCCTGTTCTCTCCCTCCTTCAGCAGAGTACAGGTTGCTGCTATGGGCCAGCTCTCGTGCTGGGGGTGGAGAGGGGTGCACTGGTGGGATCCTCCTGGACCACGACTGGCTGTGGCTCACGGGAGGGAAACGGGCCTTGGACAAGAAGCTGGCTGGGGGCAGGGGCAGGGGCAGGGGCAGGTGCAAGCTCTGGGCTCTCTGTTTTCTCTCGGCACAGCCGGACCCAGCAGGACGGGACATCTCCGTCCGCCCGCTCCTGGAGCACTGTGAAAACACTCACATGACCATCTGGCTCGGCATCGTCTACGCCTACAAGGGGCTTCTCATGGTAGGTGGCGAGCAGGAGGCGGGGCTTGGGGAGGCCTTCTCTGCCAGCCTCTCTCTCTCTCTCTCAAAGGCCATTGTCCGCTAAGCTACGCAGAGCCCCACGGCTAAGCACTTGCTGTCTGCCCAGCCCCGTGTTGGCCACAAGAACACTGGGAGACAGTTCCCAACAATATGCCCATTTCACTGATGAGAACATCAAGGCTCCATGTCTTGCCTGAGGCCACTCAGCAAGTGGCAGAGTCAAGCAGTCAGCCAGAGAGTGAGCCCAGACCTTCGAGCGTACCTCCCGGCTGTCCCTGCCCTAGGCCCGGGAGCAGAAGTGTGCTCATGCGACCTCAGCGCATGCTCCCTGCCCACATCCCAGAGCATCAGTGCAGTCACCCCCACTTCACAGATAAGGAAGGCGAGGCAGAGGGGTTAAGTGATTTCTAAATGCCACATGGCAACCACCAGTCTCTGTATCCAGCACACATTCGACTCCACCCACCTGTTAACAAGCCAAGTTCCCGCAGCAAGCCCACGTCACACCCTGGCGCAGGAAGCACGGAACAGGCCAGTCCTAGCCTTCCTGAGCCCGGGTGGACCCTAGCGTCTCTGCTCTACCCTGTGCCACGCATGCCTTCACACGTGACACGCCTCCAGGCACAGGAAGCTGGCTGCCACTCACCGCCCCGAGCTTCCCATGGGAAAGTTGAGCGGCCACCCACCCCCACTCAGAGGCCCGTGGCGGAGCCCTCGCCAGGACTGGCATTCCTCGTGCTGTTCGAGTGTGCCCTCACCAGCTGCCACCTTAGAGGACTGTTAGCAGGTGGCCCTGTGTCCTGCAAAGGGCGACCCCAGGGGGCATGCATTAGCGGTCCCTAGGCAAAGATGGCCCCCCCCCCGCTTCCTACCAGTTGAGAACCCCCCCCCCTTGTGGTTGCCAAATAGGGCCACAAGGTAGCAGCGTGGGCCTTGGAAGTACTGACCGGCAGGAGGTACCCAGAGTGGAAATGCCACCTTGAGGACTGGCCAGAGGCCCTGGGCTTCAACGAGGACCCACCCTGGGAACACGGTGCCCAAGAACTTGGAAGAGCTGTCGGGGTGGGTGGCCCAGACCTCAGGGAGGAACTACGGGCAGCCGGCAAAGGCAGACCCAACTCCAGGTAAAGAAGCGGGGTTTTGTTATAGTTTTTAAAAGACTTATTTTGTATTTATGTAAAAGGCAGAGTTACAGAGAGGAGAGACAGACGGAAGATACCTGTGTCTCTCTGTCTCTCTCTCACTCTGCACACCAAGCGAATAAGTCTTTTTTAAAAAAAAAAAAAAAAAAAAAAAAAAAAAAAAAAAGCAGTTGCTCGGTGTGATGTTAAGTGGGCCGTGCCCTGAGCTGCAGGACTGAGAGCAAGAGGAGGGGCCGCTTGAGAGCCTCCTGGGAGCCCCCGCACCGGGCAGTCTGACTGTCCCTCCTGCCCTCCCCCCACCGGCACACCACCCCCAAGGAGGGTTCAAAACCCACCTTTGGTCTCCACCCTATTTCCGCTGAGAGAGGTATTAATTCGGAGTCGCAAGTGAGAGAAAACCCAGAATCATAGTAAAGAGATAGGTAACTTCCCTCTATATGAAACCCAGCCCAGAGCTCTCTGCCTGGGGCTGATGTTGGGACCCCATCCTGATCACACAGCCCCCATGTCATGCTCTAAAACGTCCTCGTAGTCTAAAATAGCTGCTGAAGCCCCACCCGTTACCTCCCAGTCCAGCTGTTAAAAGGAAAAGCAGCACCTCTTCCCCTTGAAGTTACTTCTCAGAATGTGCACACATCGCTCACGCCAGCACCGTCCAGAGCTCAGACATAAGCCACATGAGAGTCTCTCTTCCCGGGGACCGTGCGCATTGGAGGAAGACAAGCTCTGGACACAAAGGGTCTGCCTGTTCTCATGGGAAAAAAAAAAAAAAAGCCCCACTGGACTGAACTAGTAGAGGCACGCTCCATGTCGCCAGCATGTTGCAGTGTGGCCCTGGGCGAGCCCTCCCCCTCGCTGGGCCTCAGTGTCCCCCGGAGAGTGAGGGGCAGGGGTGCCATCCCTTGGCTCTCTGGCCTCTGCTGGCCAAGCATGAACCAGTTGCAGGGGTGAGGAGAGTGGACAGCTGTCCCGCCCCCAGCCCGCATTTCCTGAGCGGGACTTGATGCTGGTGGGGGCGGGGGGGGGGGGGTTCTGGAGCAGAGACCTGGCCGGCAGCCATCCGCAGGGTGGCGGCTGTGAGCCGCAGGTGCTGACGGTCTGCACCTGTTTCAGCTGTTCGGCTGTTTCTTGGCCTGGGAGACCCGCAACGTGAGCATCCCGGCGCTCAACGACAGCAAGTACATCGGCATGAGCGTCTACAACGTGGGCATCATGTGCATCATCGGGGCGGCCGTCTCCTTCCTGACCCGGGACCAGCCCAACGTGCAGTTCTGCATCGTGGCCCTGGTCATCATCTTCTGTAGCACCATCACCCTCTGCCTGGTGTTTGTGCCCAAGGTACTAGGTGCCAGCACCCGGTGGGGGGGGGGGTGCTGAGGTTTTGCCCAGCAAGCATTCAGAGAACTGCTGTGTTTGGGTGTGTTTCACCTGCGTGTTTGTGATATGTTCCCCTCCCATTTATTTGTAACAGCTAGGAGAGGGTGTTGCGTGTCTATGACTTTGCAATTGGCCCTCTGCACTTGACACTCACTGACATTACTCAGGGCAGGCTCCATGAGCCCCTGTCCACCTGGCCCCTTACAGGCAAGCATCGCCTCTGCTTGCAGATTTTTTATATTATAAATGAAGTTTTTAGGGATTTCTCTATTTATTTAAAAGACATAGTGACAGAGAAAAGGGGATGAGACAGATCTCCCATCCGCTGAGTCACTCCCCTAAAGGTGACAACAGCCAGGTCTGGGCCAAGCTGAAGCCAGGAGCCTGGAGTTCCATCCAGATCTCCCTTGTGGGTGCAGGTGCCCAAGCTCTTGGGCCACCCTCTGCTGCTTTCCCAGGTGCATCAGCAGGGAGCTGGATCAGAAGTGAAGCAACCAGGACTTGAACGTCCATATGGGATGCTGGTATTGAAGGCAGCAGCTTAACCAGCTGTGCCACAAAGCCAGCCCTGTAAATTAATATTTTTTTCTGAATGGCCCATTTTTTCTTTGTCTCCAACTAGAGTCACATCTGTGGTGTTATTGGGTCAAAAGGAATAACCCTTTCTCATGGCCACTTAGCTTCCCATTGATCCAAAGGGCTGGCCCTCAGGACCACCTAGAAGAGCCATTTGCCCAATCTCCCAGGAGCCCTGCAGTGGTGTCACGGCAGCCCAGCCTCAGTGGGTCCCAGGGGTAAGGGAAGGGAAGGCATGGGAAGCAGAGGAAGGAGTTCATGACCACGTCGGGGAGCACCTGCCCAGAGAAGGGCGAGAGGAGACATCACCCAGGCTCCTATTAGGGGACAAGCAGCCTTCTCCTGCACTTGTCCGTCCCTGCCGAGCTCCAGGCAAAGGCCACAATTCTCTGCCTGCCCTCGGACATTCTGTCCTGCAAAAGAGGCCCGACAGTTCTCTAAGCCCAGCCCCAACCGTGCCATTCTGCGCTGCCACCCCTGCTGGCACTTTGGTGCCCTCTCCTGCAGGATCAGGTCCCCAAAGTCAGCTGGATTCAGCACGCTCAGATCTCCTCCAAGGAGAATTAAATGGCCCTTCCCCATAAGTGCCCTGAGCCCCGGGCCTCCCTGCTTTTCTATTTGCTGCTTCTTCCTCCTGGGATTCTCTTCCCAGACCCTGCACTGAGCCCAGCCCAGGCCACAGCACCGTGGTGGGCACTGTGCCTTCCTGGCTTCTGGCTTGGTGAGCATTGAGTTCTTCTTGGTCCCCACCCCACACGCCTGGCTAGGAGTGCCCGGTGGGCAGAGGCTATGGCTCCTCAGCTCCTGCTCTCTGGCGCTGAGCCCAAAGCCTGCCCTCAACCAAAGGTCTTTCTAGAAGAAATGGGTAAAATCAGGGCCAAGTAGCAAGTTTTTCTATCAGATAAAAATGTCACAGAGAACTATGAGATAGCAAATGTGCGTTGGTTGGAGCTGTTTTAGAGCAAACACCCTTGCGGTTTCCAGGGCTGGCCACCAGCCTGCCCCAGAGCCGCCAGGGGCTCTGACAGAGGCCTTCCTTTCCTCCACGCCATCAGCTAAGCAGCTGCCACCTCCAGAGCAGGCCCAGGGCAGAGCAGAGCGAGACTCAGCTGGAGCTGGGCCTGGGGAGACCTGGGGGACCCGGCAGCATGGGGGGCTGCAGAGGGACTCAGGGCTAGAAGATCGGTATCTGCTGGCCAGGAGGGACACTGAGGCTCGGCGAGGGACAAGGTCACACCCTGCCTGAGCCCAGGGCTCCTCACTCCCCAGACTGTGTCCCTCCCGGAGGCCCCAGTGCAGGACCTGCAGGGAGGGAGGCAGCAGTGTGGGAGGAAGGGCCCAGGGCTCGCTCTCTCCAGCCCTACCTTGGCCTTGCAGCTCATCACTCTGAGAACAAACCCAGACGCCGCGACGCAGAACAGGCGGTTCCAGTTCACGCAGAATCAGAAGAAAGAGGACTCAAAGACGTCTACGTCGGTCACCAGCGTGAACCAGGCAAGCACCTCCCGCCTGGAGGGCCTACAGTCGGAAAACCACCGCCTGCGCATGAAGATCACAGAGGTACTCCGCCCCAGCCCTCCCCACCCGCCCCCCCTCTGTGGGAGCCCAGGCAGCAGAATCTGTGGGTGGAGGCAGCTTGTCCGAATCCTACAGGATCTCACCGGCCACCTGGCCTGGTCTCGGAAAGCCTGGCAAAACCAGACTCCGAGAACAAAAGGAACACCCAGGGCTGTGGGCCCGCACTCCCTCTCTCCTCTCTCCATTCTGTTTGTCCCGACACTAATCTGTAGCCACCTGCATGTCTCTGACGTAGAGCGAGAACAGGAAGTAGAGAGAGACTGCAGTAAACAGGACCTTAGTCCTGAGGGTGCTTTTCCAATTTGATTGATTGGTTGATTGACAGGCAGAGATAGACAGTTCCCATCTACTGGTTCACTCCCCAAATGCCCACAACAGCCAGGAGTGGGCCAGATCAAAGCAGGAATTCAATTTGGTCGCCCATGAGGGTGGCGGGGACCCACACACTTCAGTTGCCACCTGCCGCCACTCAGGATACATAACAGCAGGCAGCTAGAATTGGGAGCAGAGCCTGGACTCAAAGCCAGGCATGCTGAGATGGGATGCAGAGAGCCCAAACCTACCTCAAACACCCTCCCCTGGCCTGAGGGTGCTTAACTGGCTCCTGGCTGTTCCAGGGAGGTCATCACGAGATCCCTTGGTGCCCAGGCCAATCCTCAAACTCCAGACTTTCAATGGCAGAAGAGGAACCCAACTCTACCCCCTTTTCCTCATCTCCCTTGGGTGCAAGGTGTGATGGGACCCAGGAGTAGAGAGGAACCCTGGCTCACTGAGGGGGCGGGAAAAGAACGCAGAAAAGTGTGTTGGTGAGGATGCTGGCCAGGTGCAGGGAGCAAAAGACCCAAAACAAGGTGGCCCAGAAGCCGTGTCTCTGTCACCTAACAGCCCTGAGAGGGTGAGCAGCCGTGCTCCCCATGGCCCTTCCTGGACCCGATGCCTTTGCAGCCACTCCCAGGTGACTGCCTCATGGGGCAGGTCCTGGCCTCGGGCAGGGGACAGACAGGAAGTCCTCGCAAGAAGCTGCCTCTTAACAGGCAACACAACACAGCACCTGTTTGGTTCTGCGCCAGCTAAGTTGGCAAGGACCTCCGTGAGCAAGGCTAGCCACAGAGGAGCTTGGAAAATGCAGTCTCCCACTGGACGGTCACAGGAGGAAGTGGGAGGGAGGGCGGCCAGACGAGAGACAAGATGCCCAGTTAAACTTGAGTTTCAAATAATCAATCCTGAGCCGGCGCCGTGGCTCAATAGGCTAATCCTCCACCTTGCGGCGCCGGCACACCGGGTTCTAGTCCCGGTCGGGGCACCGGATTCTGTCCCGGTAGCCCCTCTTCCAGGCCAGCTCTCTGCTATGGCCAGGGAGTGCAGTGGAGGATGGCCCAGGTGCTTGGGCCCTGCACCCCATGGGAGACCAGGAAAAGCACCTGGCTCCTGGCTCCTGCCAGGATCAGCGCGGTGCGCCGGCTGCAGCGGCGGCCATTGGAGGGTGAACCAACGGCAAAGGAAGACCTTTCTCTCTCTGTCTCTCTCTCACTGTCCACTCTGCCTGTCAAAAAAAAAAAATAAATAAATAATCAATCCTATTTTCCAGTATAATTATATCCCCATTCAATACTTGGGATCTACTTATAGGTAACGAAAGGACTTGTTCCCTGAAATTCACCTTCAACTGAAGCTTGTTTTTAATATGCTACATCTGGTAGCAGGTGCACACACAGCCACATGTGTGTGCACCTGCTGATGCCTGCTGCAGGACACGCAGCCCCCCGTCAGTCCCCTAAGCAAAGTAGGACGGATCCTGTCCCTCAAGGCGCATTGCAGGTTGTTTTAATATCAGACTTCCCTAGGGTTACTAATTCCATGTCTGTCTCTGACAGCCCATGTCTGCCTACACACTCCAGCAATGCAGAGTTCACGGTCACACCCTGTGATCCCAGTAGCCCTGCCATTTAAGTGGCACAGAAAGTGCATCTCTGTCCTCTCCCGCGTGAAGATGTGTTGAACCATCTGACTACTTTGGGGGCTGACCTCAGAACAGCACTTCATAGTTTGTAAGGTCCCCACCCCATGTATTGTAATGGGGATCCCAACTGCCACAAGCCCCTTCCCTGACCAGCACACACTGCCAACCATCCCCCAGGCTTCTCTGAGGCTGTATCACCCAGGATTCACACCCGATTCTTATCATCGTGGGGGTGACAGAGACCCATCCCGACTGACTCCCTGCTGATGTGCTTTTCAGAACAATGTCAGTCTCAGAGCAGACTAGCCCTGCACGACTGTCCTCCCCACCGAGGGTCCTGCCAGGGACCAATGACGGTAGCCACGGTAATGCGGTTCTCGGAGCAGCTTAGCTTATTGTGCGTGATCTCATTTAATCCTCACAACAACATTTAATCATGCCTGCGCAAGTTAGGCCTGATTACCACCCCATGCTACAATAAGGAAACTGACACCCGGTTCCCATGAGCAGTGCAAGCCCAAAAAAGAGGAGTCTGGGATCACTCCCTGGGCCTGTCAGAACCAGAGCTCTCACTACCTCCTGCCCCTGCCTCCCTGGACTTGCTCAGCCTCACCATCAAGGCTCAAGCCTACACTGAACACATGATCACCGAGCTCCGCTCCCTCTCATCATTGTTCTCCTTGGACGAGAGCTGGCGGGGTCCTTCTGCATGTCTTCCCCAAGACGCGGCGGCCAGGGGTGGGGGCTCGGAGTCAGCTGGAGCCTCTGTCTTGCAGCTGGATAAAGACTTGGAAGAGGTCACCATGCAGCTGCAGGACACCCCAGAAAAGACCACCTACATTAAACAGAACCACTACCAAGAGCTCAATGACATCCTCAGCCTCGGGAACTTCACCGAGAGCACAGGTAAGGGGGGGCTGGGGCTCAAACCGCAGCCGTCCAGCTTCTATAGATGAAGAAACTGGGGCTCGCAGACGGCCAGGGACCAGTCTGAAGTCGCACACGCAGAGCTGTCGCCGGACCCCAGGTTGGGGTCTGCCTGGGGCCCCCCAGGCCCCACCTGGCCCTTGGGCTTCTTTTGCTGTCCCTCAAAGTCTAGCTGCAATGCACACGACACGGCCAGCATTTCCGGTGTACTGACCGCAGGCACATGTCCCCGTGGTCCTTAGCAGTTCACTACAGTTCCAAGTGCCCGCTCGTCAGTGTTCAAGGAAAGGATGGGTAGCGAGACCAGGTGTGATGTCTGACTGACCTAGCATCTGGGAACGCAAACCATGCCACAGACCGGTCGTGCCTGCCTGCCTGCCTGCCTGCCAGCATAGAACAGAGTATGTGTTGGGAAGCGACCAGAAGGGGGCACCCTTCTGCCCTGTTTTGGAAGTCCGTCTGGCACCCTCCAAAGGGAAGCCGCAGCAGCTCTGCTGGCAGGAACCTGCCCGGTGGACACACTCCCACATGGGCCAAGATGAACCCAACGGCACTGCCAGTGTCCAGGCCCCAGTGGGTTACGGCAATGTTCACTCCCACTGGAGTTACTGTTGTCACTCTCTTCCATCTTTGCCAATCTTAGCAAAAATGCACCTTGCAGGGGTTTCTTCATCCTTGTAGCCCTGCACACCATGAAGGGGCCTTTAAATGAGATCCTGGCATCCTAAGTTAAAGGTGCCCCTTGACTCTCTGTGTTTCCCCCCCTTTTTTTCTTGGAAGAAGGGGGGCCCAGAGCAGGCCCCACAAGCCCACAGCACACTGCTTCCAGCCCTGGGCACAGGCTCCTCGGCTCACAGCCCTGGCCCGGAGAGAGCTGTTAAACAGACCGCAGTTTGATGAACAGAGGGAGACAGTGGCTCTTTCATTTTCTCTCTTTGAGCAGTATCCTAGGAAGCTTGCCTTGAGTTTTTAAAAATATTTAGGACTAGCACTGTGGCATAGTAGGCTAAGCCTCCACCTGTGGTGCTGGCATCCCCGCTGCTGCACTTCCAATCCAGCTCTGCTAATGCGCCTGGGAAAGCAGTGGAGGACAGCCCAAGTGCTTGGGCCCCTCTACCCACACAGGAGACCCAGAAGAAGCTCCAGGCTCCTGGCTTCCAACTGGCCCAGCTCTGGTCATTGCAGCCATTTGGGGACTGAACCACTGGATAGAAGACCTTTCTCTACCTCTCAAATAAATAAATTCCTTCAAAAATAGATTTAGTTATTTGAAAAGCGAGAGAGAGAGAGAGATCTTCTATCTATTGGCTCACTCCCCAACGAGCCACAACATCCAAGGCTGGGCCAGGCTGAAGCCAGGAACCAGGAACTCCATCCAGGTCTCCCACGTGGTGGCAGGGGCCATCTGCTGCTGCTTTCCCGGGCGCATTCACAGAGAGCTGGACAGAAAGCAGAGCAGCCAAGGCTTGACCCAGAGCTCCAGCCTGGGATGCGGGCATCACGGGTGGCTGCTTCACTTGCGGTGCCACACTGCTGGTCCTTGTGGATTTTTTTTAAAACTGAGTTAACTATGTTATCATTTCAGATGGGGGAAAGGCCATTTTAAAAAATCACCTTGATCAAAATCCCCAGCTACAGTGGAACACAACAGAGCCCTCTCGAACATGCAAAGATCCTATAGAAGATATAAACTCCCCAGAACAGTAAGTACCTGCTCCTTGAGAATAGTCCCCCAACAGGACGTGACTCCCGCACGGCAGTTTATAATAGGCACTGTGCTTTCACAGCCTTTGTTTGATTTACACCCCATAGCAACCCTGGAGTGCGGGTCAAATGATGATGTTCCTTTTACAGAGGAGAAAACCGGTATTCAAAGGGGGAGGCAGCTTGTCCAAGCTCACTTGCTGCTCTGTGCAGGAGTTGAGATTTGAACCTGGGTTTGCGCATCATCAAATCCCATGTTCTCTACCATAGCATGCTGCCTTTGCGATGCCTGAAATTGAACCCTGCTAAAGGCATTTACCGAAGGCCTGAGACCGTCCCAGGTGTCAGGTGTAGGTGCTGGGGACACTTCGCTGCAGAAAACACACAAAATCTCTCTTTTTGTGGAGCTCCCATTCTCTCTGGCAGGAAAACAACTTCATTAAAAAAAGCAAGACACATGTGAGCGAATGACAGGTGCCTGGGGGAAGAGGAAGTCAGGGAAGGGAGGCGGGAGTGTCCTTGTAAAGAGGCTGTGCAGAGGGCACTCAATGAGACAGTGCCGTCTTGGCATGGGCCTGACACCTGGTGGTTGTGGTTCTCGCCACCCTCCAGCACAGGGGAAGCAGAGGCTGGGAACCTGGACTCTGAACTGGCCTCTGGGCGGTGACAAGCAGGGCAGAAGCAGCAAGGGCAGCCAAACCGCCAACTGCAGCCTCTCGTGGGCCACTCAGTGTTAGAGCTGACAGTCTGTCAGCCCCATCAGCTCCGAGGCCTGGGCCTCTGACAGCCCAGAGCAGCTGGCGGTGGCCGCCTGGCAGTGGCTGGCAGCCTACCTATCCGTTGCCTCCACAGCGGTAGAAGCACCTTGAGGGTACGGAACAGTCTTCCAGGTGCCTCTGGGCTGGACGTGGTTTCCAGCACTGAGCGAGTTCTTGGCAAGTGTGTGTTCAAGGAACGAAAAAGCAAAACAGCATCCTAACTGCAGACCGCTGTGACTCTGACAAGCGCAGGACGGATACCCGCCGTGCCTGGGCCAGGGCACCCTCCCCCGTCACAGCTGATTCTTCCTGAACTCTTGGCTCCCACCACCTTGCATTAAGCACTAGATCGTGGCCAACACTATACAGGTTCCACTTTCATTTCAAAGTGAGCGCTCTAGCCCCAGGCACACCTGTGAGGGGAATATTGGGAGAAGGCTTTCTGGCCAACAGGAACTTGGAGAATGGGAATGGCGCTTCATCTTCACCCTAAGTAAACCCCAGGGGCACCCCCTGTTGGGATGAGGTAGCCCTCGTGAATGGATTTGTCCCCACCATAAAGCTGTGTGGCATCACAGAAGAGCCCCGGCTTCCCCAGTCCTGGTTTCTCCTCCGTGAGTTAGTGACATACACTCCCTGCTCTTCCCTCATCTGGTAATGGGAATAGCAACTTCTTTTGCCTATTGGGCTTTTTTGCACCTGGGTATCCAGGCACCGGGGACACAGGAGGCGTCGGAACCCCGTGGCTTCCTCAGGAACTGTAGTATGCGAGGTGTGCAGTGGAGAACGACGCAAAACTGCAGCTAGCTGCACAGAGCTTGGGGGCCATCCCCGGGCAGGCTCCCCAAAACCAGCCTTCTCAACAGCGAGTGTGACTTAGCCACACCACAGTCCCTAGGACCACTGAGGGTGTGGCAGCGAGAAGGGTGCTGCTCATCCACGCCATGCAAGCCACCCTGGCTCAGCCCCACCTCCAGTGTTCACTGCTGTCCTTACTGGGTGTTCACCAAGGGCTGGCGGGGGGTGGGGGACTTCGAGGAAAGGGGGGGCTCATGCTCTAAGGCAGGCAGCATATAGAGGATGACATTTAATTTTTTAACATTTATTCAAGAGGCAGAAAGACAGAGAGCTCCATCTGCTGGCTCACTCCCCAGATGCCTGGAAAGGAGAGTGGGGGTGAAGTGGGGAGCCAGGAACTCAATCCAGGTCTCCCACACAGGTGGCAGAGACCCAACGACTAGAGCTATCACCCACTGCCTCCCAGAATCCGCACAGCAGGAAGCTGGAATCCAGAGCCCAACCCAGGCACTAGGAAATAGGGCGCAGATGTCTTCATTGCTAGGCCAAACATTCAACTCCTTTTACACTGGATCTTGTGGGGGTCAAAGGCAGAGAAAGAATATTCCAGAAGGGAAACAACATGCGCCCAGGTGACACAGAGGCCCCCACCGGAGCCATGTTTCAAGGGCAGTGGCCACCAGTAAGCAGGGAGAGAGGGTGGAAAATGCCATCTGGAGAGTTTGGTGTGAGATGGATCTTGGGGAGCCCCCAAGGGGACCCCAAGAGGTGTCCTCTTCCCTTCCCCAGCTCCCCCCTTGGAACGATGACCCGAGTCACCAAAGAAGTGGGAAAACCAGAAAGGAAGCTGTTGGAAGCAGCCCAGCCAAAGGGATGAGGGTGCTGGACAGGCAGTGGCCTAGGGGAGCGAGGGAGGAGAGGGCTGCTGGGGTGCATCGGGGGTTTGCCAGGTTAGCAAACAAGAGAGAGGCGGAGGTTGGCAGCACAGCCCTGTGTCCCAACTGACCCCTCCTTAGTGATCTGGCCCAGGAGCTCCAGCAGAACATGTCTGTCTTGTCCACTGCAGTCCCCTTGGTTATGCCCAGGGCTGTAGCTGGTGCTGGCTGGCTGGGGAGGTGACTGGCTGGGCACATCTCGGAGTCAGAGAATCAGGGAGCTCTCTGGGGAGCAGCCCGGCTGCCTACACTAACACTCCTCCCTGTCCTTCCCTGCAGCATCCAGCGCCGGCTGTCCCTCCAGCTCCCCATCCTCCACCACGCCTACCTCCCGTCCATCGGAGGCGTGGACGCCAGCTGCGTCAGCCCCTGCGTCAGCCCCACCGCCAGCCCCCGCCACAGACACGTGCCCCCCTCCTTCCGAGTCATGGTCTCGGGCCTGTAAGGTGGGAGGCCCGGGGCCTCCCCGGCGACACAACCACACTGGGCAGGGCCGTCTGCTCCAGGAGCACCGTCGGCTCTGGCTGCGGAGAAGCTGGGCGCCACGGCTGGCCTCTCGGGACTGCTGGGACGGCACTCAGGGGGACAGGACACGGGGGCCTTGGCACCTGACCTCGAGCCTTATTTGTGAAGTTCTTATTCTTTCACAAAGAAGAGGAATGGAAATGACTTCTTCCTTAAGTCATTCCTCCCGCCAACGAGGAGGAGCTGGTGTATTTGAAACTTGCAAAAAAAAAAAAAAAAAAAAAAAAAAGTCTAGACAAGGAGAGAGGCAGGTGCACCACAACTGGAAGTCACCGTGTCCCTAAGCAGCCTCGGAAAGAGGCTGGGGCTTCTGGAGAAAGCGCCTCCGCCCTCTGCACACACGTCCCCAGCCCCAGGCCAGCCCTTCTCCTCCCTTCTGCCAGGGGCAGCGGGTGGGCAGGGCCGCCAGCTCCAGCGGCCAGTCCAGCCCCCTCCCCCAGCCTCTCTGGAGTGGGAGTCTGCAGAAAGGGCACGGCCTGCACGTGGAGGGCTGGGGTGCCAGGCAGGCGGACTCACAGGCCCCCAGGGCTGCCATCACCCAAGATGTTTGTTACTCTCTGATAAATGCCACACATTAACACAGTAACACCTGTGCCGGGGACCATGGGAACTTAGCGGCTGGCACCAGGCACTCTGCCGTGTTCACCGACAGTCTGTCACGCACCCACCACACCGGCCACGTCCTTGTGTCCCCCACCCCGCTCCCCCGGATCACAAGGGGGCCGCCCGCCCCACCCATGGAATGTCTGTTCCCAGCAAACACGATAAGGAAAGATTGTGCACTTTAACCTCTCGTCAGGGCCCAAGGGCTGGCTGGGATGTTTTGTTTTGTTTTGTTTCCGCTGACTTCGTTTCTGACCAAAGTGAATTGAGGGCATTCTGCTCAAAGACATCCCTGGTGACCCAGGGGAGAGAGTTCCTGGCCGAGGGCTTCCCTTGGCTTCCAGAAGGCGGCCTCCCATCCGGCAAGCCAGTGAGCCCTCCCCCTGGGGCTGGCTGGGGACGGTCAGTGGGCAGATGGAGCCTCACTCGTAAGCTCGCTCTTCCCTTCTCACTGATGCCCAAAGAGCATTGGCCTGGCAGCCAGGCAGAGCTGGGTTTCGGTCCTCCATCCCTTCCGACTCCCTCCGTGACCTTGGGCAAGTCACTGGTGTCTCTCCCAGCCTCAGTTTCCCCTCTGTACCAGACTGGGGTTGAGACCACACACCCCCAACCTGCCTACCTCACAGGGTCACTCTGAGGATTGAAACTTGATCTCGGCCAGGAAAGCTTCGTACCCTGACCCGTGAGGTATTCCTACGACCGTGACCTCCAGCCCTCCCGACGGCGGGGCTGCGGCCCACACAAGCTTCCAGCACAGCCGTCTGCCCAGGACGGCCAGGCCCAGCCGGCCGCAGGGAGGCTCCCGGGAACTTTTCCCACATTCCTAGACAGGCTCATTCTTCGCTACAGAAAGGCCTGATTGACAACGCCCGGGACGTCTGCACAACCGAGCGGCTCGCTCACTCCCTAAAGAACCCTAAAGGCAGCTTCAACAGGCAGGCAATAATCTCCTCCCAGAACCACTGCAGTCAGGAATCCACTGTTGTCACCACCAGGCTTTGGCGAAAGGGCCCATGGGAACCACCACCACCACCACCATTTTAAAGCACTCCCGATTTTGCGTAGCATAGCCTTCCCCACCCCTCCCTGCAGAGAGAGGTTATGGAGGTACTGTAGCTTTTAGGGTTAAAAAAAAAAATGTGAACACATCAGCAATGGAGTTGAACTCATTCCGTTTAGGCACTACGAACCGGTGTTGTCACTCACTGTGTATGACCAGTATTCACCCACTTTCTTGACTTCACCGAAACCAAATCTTAAAGACCACATTAATTTTTCAAAGGGAAAGAGAACTAATTGTACATACTGTAAACACGCACACATACACACACACACACACACACACACAACAAATCTGTAGAAATATTACTCCAGCATAGCAGGACACAAAGTATCAGCCTGTGAGCGGTGAGCGTGTGTAACCCTTTGTGACTCCTGAGCCTATGCCGTCTCCTAGGTTAACCCACAGAGTACACCCTCCGTCTTACTGATACTGTAGGTTTACCGGTTTCTTTTTTAATTAACTTCCCTGCGAATAACGAGCCCCCCAGACGTGACTCGAGCCCTTCGATGGTTCTGTTCTTTCACACGCGGCAAACCCACTGTCCATTTCCGAAGAGGCTTCGGCCCGGAAGGCATCTTCCGACACAGTAGTGCACAAACGCTTCCAATTAGACTGGAACTGCCAGAATCAGATGTAAGTGAGGAGTTTCTCTCGTGCCCCTACTGCATGGTATCGATTTTTAATAAATTGTTGCAAATTTGTTTTTAATGAAGAAAAGGGGAAACCTGATGTCTTTCCTGCCTGCTCTTCCCATAACGCGGGTCGGCCCCGCCACCGTCCCCTGCTCAGGTCGGGGTGCAGGCCGGGCTCCCAGCTCTGTCCCTTCCTTCATACACTGCCCTTCCCAGCCTTCTGTGACCATGGGACCCCAACTTCAGAGTGATCCAAGGGGGAGAACCTGACCACAGCTGGGCCAATAAACCCTGCCCCAGGATTCCTCCCTGGGAGAGATTCACTTGGCACCAACACGGAGGAAGCAGAATCGATAGCTGAGGCCTGATGGGGTCTAAGCCCCTGGGGAGCTGTGCCTGGCAGCACCCTGGACCCTGGCGTGCTCCATCCGCCAGCCTCCTTTAGATTCTCTATCCTCCCTTAAATTACCCTTTTTCACTTGGTGAGTTCAAGGTGGGCTCCCATCACAACCAAATGATTCTTAAAAAGATTTATGTGAAAATTACAAAGAAGGAGGGAGACAGAGAGAGATCCTCCATCTGCTGGTTCACTCCCCAGATGGCTGCAACTGCCAGGGCTGGGCCAGGCTGAGCCAGCAGCCAGGACCGGGATCCCCACGTGGGTGCAGGAACCCAAGCACTTGGGCCATCTTCTGCTGCTTTCCCAGGCCATTAGCAGGGAGCTGGATCGCAAGTGGAACAGCCAGGACTTGAACCAGCACCCATTTGGGATGCCAGTGTCACAGGCAGCGGCTTTACCCTGCTATGCAACATCAGCCCCCAGCGACCAGAAGGTTCTTGACTACTGTGGAATGCTCGCTAACTCCCTGGCCCCGACTGCCCCCCAGGCCTCAAGAGCCTGCAGAGATTTGGCCCTGGGGGCTGCCCCATGAGCCGCCTGCACCTCCTCCAGCCTGTGGCGCCCTCAGCTGGCATCTCCATGTCTTCCTCCTGGACCCCGGACAGGAAATCCACTCCTCCTGTTTTCGGGAGAATGCCGTTCACTCACATGGCACTGGGTGCCTCCTCACACTGTCCCCTCCCTACCCCGCACCCCGAGCTTCCTGAGGGAGTCCGAGCTGCTTCCTTGGCACAGCTGTTCCTCCCCGGGGCACAGAGCAGATTCCCCAGGGCTCAGCAGAATCAACCTTTTGGAGCAGGCCCATCAGGTTGGTTGCTGGACCTGAACCATCAGAGCAAAGGCAGACGGGGCCATGGGACTGGCTCAGGCCTCGGAGAGACTGGCAGACTTCATCAGGGGGCTGGGCCCACGCAGCCTTCCAGGACGGGGGTCCTCAGTGGTGGAGCTCCATGCACGGTCCCTGCTCCACACCACCTTGGGAGGCAGGCTGTGCAAGGACAGGAGTTAGGTCCAGTGCCGAGGAGGGATTCACCCAAGGCCACGGGATGAGTCTGTGGCACAGGCAGGAACAACTGGAGTTGTGTCTGGTCTCACTTCTACCTCACCCAGACTCACAGAAATCAGCGCCAGGCAGCACTGCAGCGAGTGTCCTGTCCAACCCCGCACTCTGTTGGGGGAAACAGAGGCCCGGTGAGCGAGCCAGGGTCAGCCGGAGGTCCCGCGAGGGCAGGCACGGAACATCGTGGAACCCGGATGCTCTGGCCGCGAGCCTCAGCTCTTGTCTGTTGGGTCCACCTCCTCACCCTCGGCCCTGAACCACAGCAGAGTAAGCAGAGTGGCGAGACACCAGCACACGGAGCCACGTCTCAGCTGCCACGGACTCCAGACATCTTCACGCCACGGCTGGGCGCACCTCTGGGCACGTCTGAAAGGGAAACGCCGTGTGCCAGGGAAAGCCCTCCCTCCCTCCCTCCTGGCATCACTGGCGGCCTTCACGCCTCGCTGGGCCCCCAGGACCAGGGTGTGTGTGAGCCCGAGTCGAAAGGGCCGGCCCAGGAGAGCGCGGCACACTCCCTTCCGGTTACAAAGTGTCCTCTTTGTCTTCCTTTTCTCTTGCCTGGTTCATTTCTGAGGTAAAAATAAAATCAAATCAGAATATTTGCCAGCTTCCCAGTGAGTGGAAGCCCTGAAGTCTCCTCATCCTAGGACGCAGAGACAACACTGGGATGGGAAGAAGGTTCCAGAACCAGTAAGGCTGGACCGCCTGCCAGGCCTGACCTTCCGGGCAGGTCCCTGTACTCACCTACAAGGATCTTCCTGGGGACAGCTCTAACTGCCTGGAAGCCGGGGATGGCAGAGGAGGCGGTGCTGGGGGTGGGGGGCTATAAAATGCAGGCTGGTGGCCACGGGCAGTTCTGCCTCTCCAGCCCCCTTCCTGCCAGCCTCCTAGAAGCACAGCTCTAACTCTGGAAGGAAAGAAGGGAAGCTATTGGGAGGGAATCTGGAGGGACCTCCCTTGCTCCCAGTCCTGACTCAGAGATTGGCTCAGGGATATGCTCATTTTCCAGGCCCAGCCAATCGGAGCCCTTCCCAGGATTTCTGTCCCAGGTTTGGAATCTTGCCCTCCAGCTGGAGAAATGAGAAGAGAGGCATGGGCTCTGTTCACATCATCTGGGCTCAAGGACCAGCAGTGGCTAAAGCCCTTGAGCATCAGCTTTGAGCAAATATGGTCTCCTTTCTGCTTCCAGAGGGTGGAGTTCCAGATGCCTAGAACCAAAAGAAATCTGTGGGATGCAGGAGGGCTCCTGGCTGTCTGAAACGTGAAAATTCCACCTCCTCCCCTCTCCTGGTGTTGACGGACATGTGGGAAATAGCTCCTGGCTGAGCGGGCAGGTGGCTAAGGACATCTGTGGGGACAGGGGGCTCAAAGAAGCCACAGGAGACTGAGAAGGGGGTCCTTGGGCCAGGCCGAGGATTGGAGGGCCTGCATGTCCCTAAGCAGGGCCCTGTGATTGCTCCACCATCTCTGCCTTGTCACATGTCTGTCCCTCACCTTCTGGGCTCATCACATTCTGCTTAGCCTTGAAAGGCAAGGTCTGGGCAGAAAATGATGGATACATTCTCCTGAGAAAAGAAGTCCCTGGGGCCGGCGCTGTGGCGTAATGGGTAAAGCCACTGCCTGTAGCACCAGCATCCTATATAGGAGCCCATTCAAGTCCCAGCTGCTCTACTTCAGAGCCAGCTCTCTACTATGACCCGGGAGAGCAGAAGAAGTGCTAGGCCCCTGCACCCTCACCGGAGAACCCGGAAGAGGCTCAAGGCTCAAGGCTCCTGGCTCCTGGCTTCAGATCCACCCAGCTCTGGGCCTTGGGGCCATTTGGAGAGTGAACCAGCAGATGGAAGAAATCTCTCTCTCTGCCTCGCAAATAAATAAATCTTATTAAGAAAGAAAGAAAGAAAGACGACGAGGTCCCTGCCTACCTCCACCGCATATCTCAAGCCCCAGAGGCTCATGCACTCTGGCTTGGTCTGAGCCGTGCATGGTGCTGGGTGGTCCTGCCTGGTTCCTCCAGCTCCCACTTTCATGAGCCTCGTGCACCCTGGGGAGCATCCGCTGGGCCCCTGCTGGTTGCCCCTGCCAATGCTGGGTGCCAGGGGAGCAACAGGAAACAAGTCTCAAGAAGCCACAGGTTAATGGAGAGACAGCTGCATAATGATAAAGTGATGACAGCATGGGCTAAGCAGCCAGCCCACTGGGGAGTCAGGGCATGCTTCCTGGGGCACAACCTCCAACAGGGCTGCTTCCTGGGCCTGCCACCTGTACAGTCACTGTGAACGGCCTCTTGTGTGGCTTCATGCTCTTCCATTACTGTGGGGAGCAACTCAGACTAGACTAAGTTACTGGAATTAAGACTTATTCTATGCATCTGCTCTCCCACAATATGGCGCTGAGAAGGGAGAAACAGCTTCTACACAGCTGCCTCCAGTTCAACCAATAAACTGTAGGACCTGCTCCTGATTGGAGGAGAGCAGCGTACTCGGAATGTGGGTAGCAGAGTTGGGATTGGTGGAAGAGGACTATAAAGGAGGAGAGAGACAACATGCACCAGGTACATCTAAGAGGAACATCTGAGGGAACACCTGTGCAGCCCCCGAGAGAGCCGGCCGGCGGTGTGCCGCTCCCCTGCGGAAGTGGGGAAAGTGGCCAGGGGGAACTGCCCTTCCATGGAGGTGGAAGGGACGGCAGCCAACCCGGGAAGAACCAGCAGCAAACCCGGGGAAGGCCGAGCAGACAAAAGAACAGTGCAGGGTCCTGTGTCGTTCCTCCACGAAGACGGGGAGCGACACATTACTGCTTTGAAATTCTTAGTAACTGTAATTCTTTTTTAATATATTTATTTGGAAGCCAGAGACTCAGAGAGCTTCCATCCATTGGTTCACTCCAACTGCCTGCAATGGCTGGGGAGGAGGCTAGGCTGAGACAAAGAGTTGGGAACGCAATCTAGGGCTTTCACGTGGGAGGCAGGAACTCAACTAATTGAGCCGTCACCTGCTGCCTGCCAGGGTGCATGCCAGCCAGAATTGGGAACAGAACCGGGACTCGAACCCAGGCCCTCTGATATGGGACACAGGCCTCCCAGGCAGGACCTTAACCACTGTGCCCAGTGCCCCCACCCCATGAAATTCTTAGTAACACTGGAGCATGGCGGTTAGCATTTTCATTTTGTGTGGAGCTTCCCAAGTTGTGTGGCCAGTCCTATACTTAGGCCCAAAGATGAGCAGGAGCTATGGCAATAGAAAGAAAGAGGAAGGCATAGGAAGGGAACTGGCAGCCCAGCTCGGTAGGGTGCCGTGGCCATGCCTGAGTCAACTGGGTTGCTGTGGGCTAACCATTTGCCCTGGAATTTGTGTGGCTCAGATCCTTGAATGATCAGACAGCTCACATTCTGGGT